ACTTTATTACTGTATTTCATTCAACTTCTTTTCTCAAATCTACGTCTTTTTGTACCTCTTTTTTTTTCTTTATTTCTTTCTTTCAAATGATTTTTTTCTCGTGCTTTCTTTTACATTTTCATTCATGGTATCCTTATTTTCACTTTATTCATAAGTCTTTCATTTCCTTTATATTTCGTTTCTTCTTTATTTCTTTTTTTTTCTTTCCTCGTATTCTTTTCCCGCTGTTTTTTTTCTTTATTGTTTTCTTTCCTCGTCTTCTTTTCCCGCTCTTTTTTTCTTTATTTCTTTCTTTCCTCGTCTTCTTTTCCCGCTCTTTTTTCTTTATTTCTTTCTTTCCTAGTCTTCTTTTCCCGCTCTTTTTTTTCTTTCTTTCCTCGTCTTCTTTTCCCGCTCTTTTCTTTTTTTATTTTTGCATCATCAATTTGTAATACATTTTTTCCCTTCCTTTTCGTATATAACCTTACTTTCTCGATATACACACTCCTTTATCCGCCTCTCGCTTAAGAAATAATACCATTATGTCGAACGAAACCTGAATTTATCTGGTTACGCGCGCTTGATTGTGGCTATAAGTGTAGAGATAATTGCAGGCTTCTATTTGAAAATGATATTCATACAGACATATAAATAAAGTTAATGCATACTTATACATACAAAATATTTATGCACGCAAGATAGATAATTGTGTATGATAACGGGAGATCTTCATTATTCGGTTTTAGTTTTTTATTCAACAATGGTAACAATCATACATAAAAAGGGCAGTACATATATATATATATATATATATATATTATTTTATATGCGGAGTACTTAGTGGAAAGTGTTCAATATCAGTGATAGAGCTAACATTTCAGTTGTATGGATATGAGTTTGTGACCCTGGCTTTTACGTGTAGCGTTTATTATATATAGCGATATTCTTTCAACAAGGAACAGGTGGGGGTGTTCGCTACATATAAAAAACGTTACAGTCGCGACACCGAAATAGAATTGCAATTGCGTATGTATGTATGCTCGGATGCATGGATACGTATCTGCGCCTAAACTCGGTTTGTTTATATGGATGTGTTTGTGAGAACTGAAATGCATACACCTGTATGTATGTGTGTCTATGTGTGTGATGGTGTCATCCCAAACAAAGACAGAAGAAATTTCCAACCACCAAATATACACAATCAAGTATAAATAGATCCAATTTTTAAAAAAATAATCCAGTTTGTCTGATCATCGTAAAAGAGTGAAACCCAGGGTTACAAACTCATTACCATACAACTGAATATATATATATATATATATATATATATATATATATATATATATATATATATATAGGTATAGATATAGATATAGATAAAAGAACAGTAACGTATATTATATGGTGTTCTTATTGACATTTTTTATTTCTATTTTTACAAAACAGTGCTCAATGTAAATTTACAAAGCATAAATATTAAAAATTAACTGGTTTAAAATATGTTTTTTCGCTACACATTAATAACCATGTTTCAAAAATATATATATGTATGTATTTTAAGACATATATATATTTTTAAGACATTTTTATGTTTATACATTCTTTTTATAGATACAAATATTTAAGTAAGAAGAATGTATAAAAAGAATGTATAAGCATAAAATGTCTTAAAATAATTGTCGGACTTTGTCCATTTCATAATATATATATATATATATATATATATATATATATATATATATATATATATATATTTGTCACGTTAAACGTTTTTTAGTAGTGGATACCCATGTCTGAGAAGATGCTCCGTTTATTTATTAAACAGTATTTTTATTTTCCGTATAGCGGCCTGAATATACTAGAAGATGTATTAAAGAAAAAAATATACGCTTTCTGGCAGCCGTTTGCAGGAGAAAACCGTCGTTAGATCCGACGTTCTATAGACCGATTCAGCTACGGAGTGCGTCACCGATAAGCTGAGTTGATCTTGCAAAGTGGGACGCAGGTTCGAATCCTTTCGGAGATTTTTTTTATTATAAGATTTTCTCGAATATTCAGGTATCCACCAAAATCGCCTTTAAAGTGATTAACTCTGTCGGAGTAATAAATAAAAACCTATTAACTATTAACTTTATATATATATATATATATATATATATATATATATATATATATATATATATATATATATGTCTGTGTGTGTGTGGCAGAAAATCTCTTTAGGCATGACTGATTAAAATTATGTCTGCTTATTTTTAGCATAATCCGTTCATATTCACGGATATTTTCCCGTGTATTACAATCAAATGCACTGTAGCAGTGAAAATCACTTTTATTTCCAAGTACTTTTTATCTCTTTCTGAGATTATCATCATGGTTGCAATCATCGTGAAGAGATTGAAAGTACTTTGGGAAATAAAAGTGATTTTCACTGTTACAATGTATTTGATTGTACTACAGGGAAAAATATCCGTGAATAAAAACGGATTATGGTAAAATAAGCAGATATAATGTTGTAATATATATATATATATATATATATATATATATATATATATATATATATATATGTGTGTGTGTGTGTGTGTGTGTGTGTGTGTATGTATGTGTGTGAAAATATATATAGAAAATAGGAAAGAAAGATAAATAATCTATAATATATAGAAAATAGGAAAGAAAGGTAAATAATCCAAAGTTCTTTAGTATTTTTGTTATTATTTTGAAAAAACAGTGCTCGATAAAAAAGTAGAGCCTAAATATAATTATTTATTTAAAAATATGATTCCATCGTTACATAAGAGTTGGGACTCATCAGCAGTGCGCATCCACTAACGAGAATTGAAACCCGTACAGATACGTTATCAAGCAAACGTCATACCAATTGTACCAACCGTACAGATGGTATGCGCATTGCTGATGAGTCCCAAATATAGGACGAAACGACTGTCCAGTGCTTTCTGCATTCTGTTGAGGTTTCTTCTAGACTCGTTGAATTACTTAATTATAATTATCTCAAATCCTCCTAATAATTTCTGTCACTTGTATATCCTTGCTTGGACCGGCTTCTAATGCTATGGATGGAGCGGCTATGGGTAAGGGAAACTCGGATGTGTTCCACTACGGAATATGTGATCGAGCGGCACTATATCGAGTCCGATTCGTTACTTCTTCGTCACCGAGGTCCGCTGTTATGACGTTTGCCTGATATCGTAACTGTTTGGGTTTCAATTCTCGGTAGTGGATGAGCACTGCTGATTAGCCCCAAATATAGGACGATATGCTTTCCTCTGCGTTCTATTGAGGTTTCTTTCAGACTTGATAAATTACTTAATTATAATTATCTCAAATCCTCCTCTAATATATATATATATATATATATATATATATATATATATATATATATATATATATATATATATATATATATATATATATATACAAACACATGAATAAAAACAAAAGGAAAACTTTTTCTTTACACACCCCTTTGGCAAGGTAAATGTAAGGATTTTATTTTGCAATATGTATAGAAAAAAGAAAAAAGGTTTCCTTTCATCTTTATTCATATATAACACATTTTACGCGATATAACACATTTTACGCTGCATAACACATTTTACGTTGCAAGACCAATCCAAATATTAAAACTTGGGTGAATTCTCCATATCTGGTATATTCGATTTTTCTGATGAAGAATACATAATAAATATTGAATTTTCTGTAATTTAAATCCTGTCAAATGAAACGCTATTATTTATATACACTACAGTTCAAAAGTTTGAGGCCACCCCCGATATTTTTTTTAAATTGGTCCCAAAATTAGTTGTTTTTTACTTTAAATAAGAGAAAATTATTATATATGGCTAAAAAAAGTGTGACATGATTTTTTATTAGAAATTTTATTATGTCAAAAAGAAAAAAGCATTTTAGGATTGAATTTAGCTCACGTCAAAATATTCTCCTTTGGCTTTGATTACTGCAGCAGGAATCTTTGGCATTCGTTGCAAAAGTTTCTCAAAGTATAAGTTTGATTTCATTCTTTTTTCATTAACTCTAAAATATCTTATATATATATATATATATATATATATATATTTGTCTTCTGTCAAGTTCATCCCATGTTAATACTGGTCGTTGTTTCAAAATTTTGAACTGTAGTGTAGGTCTTAAACATCTTGTATGAATGCATAATGTACTATTTGCTGGCGCCCAAAGTTGAGAACAGTATACCGAGTTCAAATTCATGCCGATGTTGAGTTCACTTTCAGAAAAATATCCTTAAGAAATGTATGAATACATCTTTCGTCCTTCCCAAGTTATGGGTTAAATAACAGATATTTTAGCTTTGATAAGACAACTAATATGAAATCAAAATCAACCTGAAGAGAGATAAGCTCCACCGGATTATCATGCCCTGGACACACCCACTGCTGCTACCATTACATGGCATGTCATATCCAGAGAATCTTAATTGCTTACGGGGCTCGTGGACGTAAATCCTTTTTGGTTTACTGATAAACGGAATTAAATGTAATACCTATAAAATATCTAAAACGTAAACGGGTAAATTATAAATTATAAAAGGTATATAAAAGCCACGATAGATAAGGGACTGAAATATGGCGACTGTGTGGAAATAAAGATGAGGCATGAACCAAACAATAAGCTAATAGGTACACTTTGTGCTGTAATGGTTAGCAAGCTTGTCTCGCTAGGACAATTACAACTCATGCTTTCGGCCTTGTGCCAGTCTTTTTCCTTTCTCATCTTGTTCTATGACTTTTTTCTCTTTTTCCTTTAAATGAATTTTTTCTAGATCTTTCTTTTACTTTTTCTTTTTTCGTTCCATTATTTTCAATTTATTAGTTTCTTTCATTTACTTTATATTTTCTTTGTTCTTTCTTTATTTTTCTCTCTTTTCATTTCTATTTGTTGTTCTTTCTTTCTTTCTTTCTTTCTTTCTTTCTTTCTTTCTTTCTTTCTTTCTTTCCTTTCTGTTCGTTCATCCGAAATTTCTTTAG